GTTGAGTCAAGCACTTGGACGATTTTTAGGTGTTTTTTGTCTTCGAGTTTTATTGCAATGCGCAATTTATTCCAGGCGACCACTGACGATTTTTGACAAGTCGGTCTATTTGTAGTTATATTGGCTAATCACTACGTTGGAAACCTCATCGCCTGGTTGTGTTTATGAAAATAAGCCAACTGACAATTTAATTCTTCTGAAAGATGAAATACAAAGCCATGAAAGCTTGCTACATCTATTTGTAGTTTCGGTCATTAGCTGAATTTGCTTACGTCTGGGTTACTTTGTTTATTAACAAGGTAAAGGCGACAATTGCCTCATAGGCATGCACATGAATCAATACATTAATGGTCCCGTGAAGATCACGTGGCCACTAGAAGTAGAATGTCCACCAGTTTTCAGACCAGGACGTTTACTAATATCTTTCTACAAACATATGTAATCCCTAAGTCATCTCATAACATTTAAAATGAATTTATTACTGACATTTAAGAAAACCACATGATGGAAGACGGCTAGCCCTAAATTATCCCCCAGTTTCCCTGTTACAGCTCAAACAACAGCTTCCATCATCTTTCCCGACGCAGACTGAAAGTGCTGGGAGACAGGAAACCCACTCCCGATTCCCTCACGGAATTTTCAAAGCTTTTTTAAGGGGGTTCTGAATTAGGCATTTTTAAATTTGTGATTTCGGATAAGCTTAAAATTGCTGCATTATAACAAAAACTCGTCATCTATATCAGTTTGCCATCAGGTGTTAAGTATTTAATGAGTTAGATCACCGAAAATTTTAATGGAAACTGGAATTGGCTTTTGAAGTTTTCGAGGCCATGGTCTTTTATAAATGACTTCAAATAATTTTTGTCGTAACAGCTGAATCCTATTTACAAAGAAATTATAGTTATATTTCATGGAACAAAATTCTTGCCTTTTTAATATAGCTGTACACTGTTCTAGAGTGAGCCGGAGAATATGTGCTAAAGTGAATCAATGGACAATGCCAATTGTCCCATAATGCCAGTCACGCGAGTATGTTCAATGTAGCAAAAGCTGTCCTCTCATTCACAAAGGCTCCACTGAATCTTCATCACCAAAACTTATTTGAATTTTGAGTAATTGGTATCTAAATCAACACAGAGACCAAGCTGGTGTCGTTTTTGAGTGTTGACGGAAAATCCCGGCCATGTTCATGTTTAAGATTCAATTAGTCATGGTGACCGTAATCAAGATGTACCAATGTCACAAACGATTTATAAGCCACGCGCCGTGAGATGAACCCCAAGCTGAGATGAGGAAAAGTAACGACGCTTTGGAACTAAAATTTCGGCTTTTAGGGCAAGAAAATTCAGCAAAAATACCCTTAAACTTTGTACAAATTGATTTTATAGTTTAAAATATTAAAGAAAACTTTTAAAGTAGATCATCCAGTTTTTTTCATCAAACTATTGCAAAAGACTAGAAACCTTTAGGTCTATTGGTTAATGTGCGGGATTTTGGAAGATTCGCTTTGAAGCACTTTCATTTTCGTGAGAAAGCAGCTGCTCGATTATATTTTATAATTGGTGCACATAACATCTAGATATTGCTTGTGATGATCACCACTATTATGAATTTAAAAGTAGCCCAATTTTAGGCTCATCAGATCAGCAAACGTTGCCTTCATAAGAACAGCAGACCTATACCCTAGAATCCAATCTGGGCCTTTAGTTCGACATTTTTTCATGTGTCAACTTTCAAAAATGTGAATATTTAACCCTGCTTGGATTCACCTGTAGGATATGTTAGCAATTGGATGGTTAACAGCTGAAAACAAAATGTAGGATTTCAAGCTATGCGAATGTAACGGCATTATTCAGTTTGAGCCAGAAAGCTAGGTTTCGTAGTTAAAAGCTAGGGAACTGTTTCAGCATCAAAATTTGGTGCTACTGGCCAAATTTCCTTTGATCAATCACACAGTCTGGGATATGTGAGTCATCAGAAATTGGTCGTTTCAGAAATAAGCAGTTATGCTGCATTTCGTAAATTCCGGATATAATTCTGAAGTGGTGTAAAGAATTCCACGGTTCCGAAAGACGCCAGATTCATTGAGCTCTAAAAAATACCATTCTAGCTTGAAACCTTCACTTGCGCTCTTTTCTTTTAATCGTGTTTAATCTAAGTGCAGTCTGCGGGTAAGTCAACCGAAGAAAGATTAAGTAAAGATAATAAAATCCAAAATTAAGGAGGTAGTCAACTGCGTAGTTTGTTCATCGACCGAACATACACAGCGACTCAAAATAGCCACTCTTTGTGAAAGATAAGGAAGCAAATTTGAAGCGGTCCCTCCAAGAATGCCACAGCCACAAGTGTCCATTGTCACTAAAGATCACGCCCACAACGAAACAGAGAAGGTACACCACCAGGTGATCTCGATTTGTCCGTTATTTCTACATTAGATAATGATTCCCTTGTTCTAGAAGTACACTTTGCAATCACATGACATCGACAATAAAGAAATGAGTAGTAAAAATGTGACACCTTTCACACAAAGAACTTCTGTGCCAAGAAGGCTAGGGGGACCATTAAAAGTAAAGCATTCCTTGAGCCCCACCTGTCAATTGCCAGACTGATGGCAGTGGTTTATGGATACCACACTTACGTGGGGTACACGCGGCGCAAGAATTTGAAGCTTTGCTCATGATTTCGAGATATGCCTTCAGATACCATCAATTTATGTAAAAAATGCCTAATATCCAGGCTTCATTTTTCCATGTCTGTTCGCGTAATGGCAAACTTTCACAAAAGCATGATAATGTCAACACGCTGGCTTGAGAACGCCAGGAAAATAGGGTGGGAAAACGCCGAGATTTACACGGCCTGCTCCAAGTGAAACTAAGACAAACCCTGAGGTGATTGTCATCATCAGTTAACTTAAATACCTGGCCAGATTGGGAGCATGTGAAAGTTGAAAAACTGCTAACATGCACCATAACCACGTTTTGGATTTTACATTTTCTTTTCAATTCTCCAAGTCCTCTGAATATTCTTCTCATTGTCTTGAAATGCGAGTAAATTTGTTCAATTATCCGAGTCGTGTTTTGCCTTTGAATAGCACTCATCTAGTCAGTAACAGCCGTTCATAAATCCATCAATTAACATCGAAGTAGTCTGTGAGGCAAAAGAGATTAAGCCAACTCTGGAAGTAAATCTCACAATCCAGCCATTTTAACACGTCTTGGTAGGCTGATCTTAGGCTCAAATCGAGTTACAAAATTCAGGAGGATACTTTTTTAACACATAGAAGCTCATCACAACAATTTGTCGTAGAGCACCAATGTTGCAGCGCATTCCATTATTTGCTACTGAAGATTTTTGTAGTCAAAGCGCAAAGTATCAGATAATCACTAGCTAGGCCATCGAAACAATCATTTCCCATAATTATCTTGTAGTAGGGTCACCACGGGTTCCACCTATCACAGAAACTTACGTCAAGCTGACAATCATCTTATAATAAAATCGTTATTCTATAGACTACAACCAACGTCATGATACTATGCTCATAACTCTAAAAACAGTTCTCGCTAAATTAAATTGAAAAATAAGTAGCTGCTCCGTCAGGTCGTAAATCCACGTGAACGTGGATTGATATATTTAATTAAGGTCAGTGGGAATAATTAACGCCCACAATTAAATCAAAATATAGTGGAAAATTATTAACCATGACGTTGGCATCCAATGGAGTTGATTTTACAACTTCAGGTTCTCAATATTTACTTAACAGTGGCCGGGTGGTATCAAGTTTCAGTCTCATTGTGCGTGTTAAGTTCATGTCAAATATGAGTGACCTTGGCACAGACAGACTGGCTTACATAACTTAAATCTAACCGACAAATTGTACTGCAGATCATGAATCCATCCTTTGTAGTTGTTAAATTGAATATGCACAGAACACTTATTACTTGATTATCTATACCGATGTGTAGGTGGCAGTAGTTAGCCCCACAACCCGTATACTCAACTGAAGTAGGCCCGCGACAAGTTATTAGAGGAACTGGAAATATTCTCATCTGAAGCCCCTCCTATCCAGATTTCCAACAACTAACAACTTCTGCCACCTTTAAGGTCCACGTCTTCCTTTTGACCAACGAGTCTATCGAATGACTGGACACTAATGAAAACGATCCTCGCGCCTTGTTCCATGTAGTCAGCAGTAGCGTTTAACCGACGGCACGACCGACTTCCTCGCACTTTTCACGCGATTCCGAACCAAGCCCGATAATGACCCCTTAGAAACATTAAGGGTATGCTGTCTAGTCTGTTTGATCACTGTGATGGTCCTCTACTGTTTGGGCAACTTTTCTAGAACCCAGTTTCAGCACTCTACGGCGCCCACTCGCGTACTAAATACACGCACCTTAGGTTGGCACGCTGGTTGGCACAGCCCCCGAGTTGGTACACGCCTCCTCCTCCGCCTCCTCATCGTGTAACAGGGGAGTAATTTTTATGTTGAGGAATGCAAACGCCGAGCACACTAATCAATAAATGGAAGTGAAAAATGGAGACAAATGTCTCAAAGCACAGATTCTTGTACAATACATTCACCAACTCTGACACGTAGGCAGCGTCAGCGGCGATGACAGACTTGGACGAACGCAGAATGTACTTGGCGAGGCAGCTTTGCGTACAGTACATATACAGCGCACATAATCGTACGCATAAATTTATGAAAAAAACAATGGGTATACAAGGTGAGGGAGTCAACGCAAAGTTTTCTCGAAAGTGGTGCACACGGCGTCATCAGAAAATCCAGTAAGCAAGTGTGGGTAGAAGTAATAAGAAATCAAGCGTATTAAGATGTCGCAGAGACTGTTCTGCCTTGCTAAATTATACACAGGCTAGATTCAGGCAGGAGCGATGATGGTGATGATGTTGATTTACGCGGTGAAATACAAGTGCGAAAAAGGGCATCACAGAGGGGTCGTTTAGGCTTCGTTGAAGAGGAGAGGGAGGGACTAATTCGCTTATCGTTTTCGATTCTTACTGAGCCAGGTTAGACCTTCCTTTAGACCTTCACCGGTTGTGGCGTTGGATGGCTGAACGTACCAAACGCGACCAGGTTGGAATTGGGTGAGTCGAAGTTTCTCCTGTATTTCATGTGGTTTCATCGCTGAAGAAAGTGCAAATTTAGTATTACTAGACAGTTTTCAGTACATAAACGAAAATATTTTTTCCCGATTTAGTTAACAAAGAATCTAGGTCGGCTAAACCACAAGCTACGAAACAGGAAAGAATATATCCTTTAAACAATTCGAATTTCATAAAGACACTAGAGGCGCTTATTTTACGTGTATCAATATTAAATAATCGATATCTTCGGGCAACAGAAAATTCTTATCTTTAACTCAAAGACATCTCATGGGTAAATTTAAAAGAATTATTCGTGTTTAATCTACGTGTAGTAAAGAAATTGTCATGACCAAGCTTACCTTCCGCCGTACAAGGCGGCAGGACTAATACTACGTAGTAATCACTACGGTGACAACCGACACAAAGAACGGAAAGTGCTAGTGTGTACTGGTCAACCTGCTTATTCAGACTGACATGTTCATTGTCCTCCTAGACAGCAGTAGACATTGCACCTGTTAGTCATAAATCCACCCATACTTTGCTTTATGTTTTTTTTGGATGACCTTGCAAGGTACGACCTGGTTGCACTGGTCAACCTGAGACATGACCAACAAGAACTCACTCGAACATGGAAATAAAACACAACACAAGCCAACCAATTAGTCAACAGACGATGTGGTCATCGTCGTAAGTTCGTTTGAACACGCGCCGCCGATGAGTTTACACGACCAGACACACACATACCTTGATTACAGTAATAAAGCATAATAAACTCACCACCGACGCAATGTAATACTTAATGAATGGTATTACACAACTCTAATTACGTAAAAACCCGGGTGGACCGCAGTTAAGCCCAAGACCACAAAACATAGCGTGCCAGGGCGCCTCAGCTTCGACAAACTGTTGGTAGAGTCGGTGAGTCAATCTATTTTAAGCAGCGGTGCACGACATGAGAAGAAATTTGTGCTACAAAGACAGCGGCTGCGGGTCGCTGGTGATGTTAAATCAATGGGGGGAATGAGCAATTCATTACATTACCACTGGATACTGTGTTATTTAAAATACATCGTAATCGTCAAAAAGATCGAATTTAAACTCGTTGACAATACAGTCAATATAAACTGGACGGTTCCGGTTTTCACGAGGTTTTGGATCATTTCAACGCAAGGAA